TTTTTTTTTTTTTTTTGGTTGTTGTTTTGTTTTGTTTTGTTTTCTATGCCCCCTCCACTCGTTTTTGCGCCCTCCAAATCCAGCCTGCCACCCGCACCCGCAGCCGTCGGGTGCCTGTTTTTTCTGGTGCACGTGCGTTCATTGTGCACCGACGTATTTGCTTCTGGCAAACAACAACGGCAGTAACAACAAAAAGACAATGGGTTTATGGGAGACAGGCGACATCAAGTGCCCTGAAAGCGGTGGGCAGAAGGGTTGCAAGCGCATATCTGTGTATCTGTAACATGTAAGAATGTTGAAATGGAGGGAAGACATGTGACCCCTTCCACCACCGCCACCTGCCACCATTGTCACTGCTACAATTTGTTTTCCTGCGTTCACNAATGGGGTGGGGGCGGGTCGCCGCCGGTACGCATGTTATGGTGTGGTGATGTAACACCGGGCAAGATGGAAACGACAAGCCGTGCAAAGGAGGATGTGGTGGTGGTGGTGGATGAAGGTGGGGCGGTGCAAGGAGTCTGAGAATGAAGTGAAAGAGAAAAATCGAAACGCAATGTACCTATTACCCTGCATTTACTTTCATTTCTCAATGGCCATTCTTCTTTCCCCTCACTCTTTTTGTTGTTTTGCATTCAAACTTTTTTTCCCTCATCTGTTTTTGCCCCTTCCCTCCATTCCGAAACCCCCTCCTTTTTTGAACATGTTACTTTGCTTAACATATTCCATATCAAGAAAATCAGCAAGAGGGACTTTTTTTTGTGTTTGCGGGAGGACTCAATGACGTCCTCCCAGTGTGTATGCATTCAACCGTTTGTGCTTTTATATATATATATATTTGTGTGTGTGTATGTGTGTGCGTGTACGTGAGTGTTAGCAGGTGTGTTGGGGGCATTGATCTCCTCGATTATGGGGACTGCAGTTCACCTCTAGATTGCACAAATTTACTTTGCCTTTAAATCCATGTCTGTCTTCTGTATGTCGGTACCTTTGAAGGGGGAAAGAAACGAAATCGTGTGCGACGGAGAGCACCACTCCAGCAAACAAGCACGTGGCATCCTGAAACAAAGGCGTGCGTGACCAAGAGGCTAGGACAGCAAAGGTGTGGCCGAGATGCAGGGAGATCTTCAAAAATCAAGACGTCTGTATCAAACGCTGCTGCTCCCCAACTTCAGTAGCATTGATGATGTGCGCCAATCATACAAGTCGTTGGTCTTAAAGTACCATCCCGACAAGAACCTTGATGATCCGTCGGCGGCTGAGAAGTTCCGTGATGTTCGCGTGGCGTACGAGATTCTCTCGAATGTAGAAGCGAAACGAAAATACGACAGCAACCTGCGCCTGTTCCAACCACTTGGCGTCAATTCCTATGTACCTGGAGCCAGAACGCCTCGAAATCCGGCAGCGGCGGCGGCGGCGACTGGGTCGGAGGCAGGATTCAACCCTTACATGCCGACGGGCAATGCGACGAGCAGCATCTACGAGGAGCTTAACACCTACGCGGCGAAGAGGGCCGGACGGCAACAGCAGAGACGCGCCTCCTCTGCTAGAGTGCAAGAGGACCGTGCGTCGCAGTACACAAAAGAACAAAAGGAGTTCTTTAAAAAGCGCGAGAAGGTGCACCAGGCGGAGCTGCGCAAACGACTGGAACAAGAGAGGCGCGAGCAGCGCGAGCGGGAGTTGGAGGCGCTGCGCCGCGAGCAGGAAGTGCAGCGCTGGCACCAGCACCGCCCGGCGAAGGGCACACGCCGCACCTTCTCTGCGTCGGGGGTGCAACGTGCGTCGCCCATACCTACAGCCGCTGTCGATCCTCAGCGGCAGGCGGAGAGCCGCAAGAGCCCAGCGAAGCCCATGTCTGCGCGTGAGCCCTACACAGGTGTGAATATGCCGGACACCGTGCGCCCCGTGCCGTCGCCGCGTGTTCGCCGCCCGTCGGTGGATCAGGACGCTGATCGGGCGGAGCGGCTCCGGCGCGAGAAGGAGCGGCAGACAGAGGTGCGCCGGGCGGAGCAGGAGAAATACGTGGAGCGGCTTATGAAACAGCGTATTCGTGAGTTGCGGCTGCGGAAACGCGAAACTGAAGAAGCAGAGCAGCAAGAACGCGAAAACCAGCAGCAACTTTTCTTTCTTAGTGAGAATAGTGAGCGAGAACAGATGATTCTGCCGCAGGAACAACTAGAACGTAGAAGGCTCTGGCGGGAGTACAAGCAATGCATCCGTCACTGCCTGCTACGCCTCCGTTCTCAGCGGCAGGTAACGATGGAAAAGACGTACAGGAACCTCATCGAGGCGGAGGCGGAGGCGCAACTTCAAGTCTTGTACCTGGGAACAATGGAGGCATGGCAGCGTGGTGTGTGTCATATGAAGGAAATATTGGCGTGGAAGACTCTCACGTCATGGAATTTGAACCAATGGTGTGGAATTTGCATCGAGGAGCAGACGGCAGTTGCCCACAGACATCTCGTCTTATTTGATGACTTGTGTACCAGCGAGGCATTGGAGTTTACTCTTATTGAGATGCAGCAGAAGGAAGATGCGGCTCGGATGCAGGTGGTTGAGCAACATCGCCACCTGATCGCGAAGTACCGTGGCGCTTTCCAACCAATGCTGGAACGGTATTCGCTGATGGGCGTAATGAAAGAGCAACGTGCTTTCATCGCACACACAGAAGATACAGAACGTGCAATTGTGTTATTGGCTATGCAGGAGTCCGTTGACCGCTGCGCAGTGCAGGGGGAGGAGGAAGAGGAAGTTCTGAGGCTCATTAAGCAGCGCGCGGTGGAGCGGCAGGCAGTGCACATCGCCGATGAGGAGCGTGCGCGTGTGGTGGAGAGACGGGCCAACGCTTCAGCCATCGCCACGTTGCAAGTTGAAATTCAGCGATTGAAGCGGGCGTTGCGCGCCGAGAGCTTGCCAGTGCCGCGAGAAAAGAGAGGGTGCAGTGCCGAAAGCACCTCACCGTACCGAGCAAGGCCTTTACTCAACAATGACGCCGCTTCTGTCGTACGGAACAGTGTGGATGTCGTGGGCAGCGGCCGATACGAGAGCGTTAACGCTGGTAACAGCAACGTGCAGCTCGACGGTACGCCGCGCCAGCGTCCTCGACCCGCCACACCGTCGCGAACTCCCTCGCCGCCACGGCCACTCCGTGAAACGTCGGTGGTAGCTGTAACAACAACAACAGCAATGCCTACAGCATCTGTCTCAACAACAACTCATCAGCAAGTAGTGGAAGTCAGTGCGTCACGTCGTGCGACGGCGCCTGACGCCAAATACGCGGCGGGCCTACCACAGGTTGGCTGTGGCGGCGGAAGAGACGGATTGGCAAAGGGTGCTTCAACGGCGGTGGCGCCGTTGTACTTCTCATCGTACCTCAAACAAACGTGCGGGTTTGAGTCCCCGCAGGAACGCCAGTCCTCCCAGCGGTCTTCTGTCTTGGGAGAAAGCCAATAGCTGCCGCACAGATGTGTAGTGGTGCACATACAGTAGAACTTACACATACAACAATAGGCGTGAATAACGTTAAAGAACTGTAATTCACGTTTTCTCTTCTGTGAACTTGGCACCGGTCTATTCCTTCACTTATTCTAGACCACAAACTATAGTGAACCCAATTGTTGGCGTCCATTGTATATTCTTTTTCCAGCGTGCGCGCCACTTTTCACAATTAGGGCTCTCCCTAAGAGCTCGTCGCCGCCTCATTTGTTTGCATGTTTGGCGAGCTTCTCTTGTCGTGGATAACTGCTGCATGATGGGCTTTGTTCCACTGTTGTCTGTTTTACTTCCTTTTTTTCTCTCTCTTTCTTTCTTTCTTTCTTTCCCTCCCGTCTGTTACTTTCTTTTTGTTGACACTTTCCTTTTTTGGGTTGTATTGTTGCGTCTGTTGTTGGCTTTTCCCAAAGGCTTGCACCGTTTGGGCGCGAGGGGTGTGTGTGTGTGTGTGTGCATCGCCGCGGTTCGCTGCTGTTAGCCTGGAGGTAGACAGAAAACGTGCGGCGGTAATTTGCTTTATCACCAGCGTACATGACAGATTATGTTTTCAAGTACATTCTTGTTGGCGACAGTGGCGTGGGGAAGAGCTGCCTTCTGATGCAGTTCACCCAGGGCCGCTTCTCCTCAAAGCACGACATTACAATTGGCGTCGACTTCGGCGCGAGGATTATCAAAATATCGAACTGGGGTGCTGGCGACAGTAGCGGAAGCAATAAGCTATCTTCTGGCACCAATAGTACTTGTACTAGTGCTGGGAAGACAGTTAGAATTCAGGTCTGGGACACTGCCGGACAGGAGCACTTCCGTAGCATCACGCGGAGTTACTTTCGTGGGGCCATCGGTGCCATTCTTGTTTATGACATATTCAATCGCGACTCCTTCACGCACGTGCAGGGCTGGCTGCGTGAGTGTCGTGAGCATAGCAGCAATGCCCATATCACGATCCTTCTCGTCGGCAATAAAACAGACCTTCTTGAAGGGGATGGAACGGATGGTCGTACGCGAGAGGTCAGCAAGGTTGAGGGCGAGGCATTTGCCGAGCGCCACGGCCTATTATTCATTGAAACGAGCGCCAAGAGGAGCGAGGGGGTGGATGAGGCGTTTGAGATGGTCGCGCGCAGCATATGTGAAAAGATACAGCGTGGCTTGATCGATGGGGAGGTGCTGCGCGGTGACAACGGAAGGCTGCAGCCAACGATGTTCTCAATTCGCGGAAGTTCTTCTGGTGACAACGGCGGCTGCTGCTAATGCAATGATGCTTTTCTGTGACAGTGAAGTAAAGACTAGTTTTTTTTTATTATTATTTTGCTCACGCAGTCGCTGCAAGAGATTGGGAGCTTGGCACATCAATATAGCTTTAAATTCAGTTATTTTGTTCTTGAGACTTGTGAAATTATTCCTGTCCTATTTTTTTTTTCCTCTCAGAGCCTTTGTACATTCCTCGGATTTTAGCAACTTTAGTGTGGCGAACAGCAAACATGGGCTACAGTTTCTCACGTGCGCAGATGGAGGATTACAGGGAGCTCGTCAAGGACCGCTTCTCAGAAGAGGTTATAGAGTTCCTGTACCTCAAATTCCACAAGGCGGCGCCTGATGGCTTCATGACGCCAGTTGAGTTCAAGCGCTATATCGACAGCACCGGTGTTTACAAGAATTACAGGCGCACGCACTGGACATCATCGGAGTTGCAGCACAACTCCAAAAGGGCTGATGGTGGCAAGGCGGCGGGAACAATGACGTCGACCCATATTGTAGACAGAGAGATGTACCTGCATCTTTTTAGAGGCTACGACCGTGACTGTGACGGTGTGATTTCATTCAGGGAGTTCCTGCTGTATCACCTCGCGGTGATTTACAGCACTGAGGAGCTCTTTGTTGTTGTCTTCAACGCATACGATGATGACCAGGATGGGTATCTTTCCCTTCGGGATATACGCAGTACCATAACTGCTGCAACGCGCTACGTTGGTGACTGCGATGTTGAAAATCTGGAGGTGCAGCGTGTGATTGACGAAGAGGCACAGCGAATCATGCATTTTCTCGATGTGCGTAAAGACGGGCGTATTCGGCAGGATGACATGCGTCTCATCACACAGAAACACCCCGAAGTGCTGGAGAAGATGAAGAACTTGATGTAGTTAGATGGTAGAACTAGAGGAGGGGGAAGAGAGAAGAATATTTATGCATGGAGTGAGTATGGTCGTGCCACCCTGCCCATTGTTGACATTTCTTTTTTTTTTCGTTTGGTGGGGAGGGTGAACAGTGGTCCCAGAGCGTTTGAGCGTTCCTTTTGGCGTGGCGCCCCCCGCCCCCCACCCCTCTCACTCTCGCCCGTCGGTTGCGGCTCAGTGTGAAGTTTTGTGTACGCATTGCCGTTGCGTTGTCGCCTGCGCTGCTCAGTGTGCCGCCCTCCGATGCCGCCAACTGGGCCGATTATACGCGTCTCTTCATGGCTGTTTTTTTTTCGTCGTCTTATTTATGCCGCAGAAAAAAAAAAGACTAGCTGTTTCGGTTTTCGCACCCCCTCTCGTGCTCCATTCGGGTTTTTTTTTCGGGGGGAAGGCACGCGCGCACACGCAAAGCAAAAAAAAATACCGACACAGGAGCCAAGAGACATACACGGAACGATGCAGAAATCATCGAAACCGAATAACACACCCCATCCGACACGGCGGAGCGTAGCCAATGGAGGTGAGATTAGCCCCCCAGGGAATTCACCGCTCAAGCCACAATTACTCACAACTCCGGTCGAGGATGGTCTGGATGTCAGGGCAAAGAACGGTTCCCGCGTTGCTGTCACTGCCAAATGGGAGATGCACCACCACGGCTCACGCCACCACTCAGAGGCACGGCAGCATAATCCCTCAGCAACCTGGAGGGACGTGCAGACTCGCACGTATTTGTCCGAAAGCCCTTTGCCTGTCGAGGTAGTGCCTCCAAAGCGGTCATTGATGTGTGCTCAATCAGACGGTTACAGTCGACCATCGGTGGAACCGTTACGTGAACGCAGCTTCAACGGATGCCGGAGCATGCCGAGCGATTCGTTGCCCCACAAAGGCACCGACCAGCAAACCCACCCGCCTCCATTGACAAAACGGGAGTCCTCCACCACGATGGAGGAGGAGGAGGAAGAGGTAGAAGAAAAGAGCAGGTCCCCCGATCCACCTTCACACACGAAAAGAAGCAGACCGCGGGAAAGAAGAACGGCTCAGCATATGAAGATGCATTTGTGCAACGACAACAAACCGATTTTGTGTGAGTGTCACAGGGTGAGCACCGTGTCTGAGGAGGAGATAGCGAATTCACCGGCACACAGCAGCCAAAGGAATATGAGGAATAACAAGAGGCAACCTCATATGGTGAAAAGTGGTTGCGATGCGATGGAGCCACCACTGTTGTTATGTACGGAGCCGGAGTGCCAGATTCTGCAAGGCCAAGAAGAACCTCACGCTTCTCCAATGGAAGGCGCTTGTACAAAAAAAAAAGACGTGTCAGCAATGCCACCGCTGCCGCGTGATAATGTTTTTTTGGACTCTCCAGCTGAACCCTCAGCGCCATGTGAACCTACTTCTCCAGGAGAAAACAAAAAAACTGAGTCCAAAGGGTGGAATAATCAGCAAAAACAGGCTGCCACACTTCCCTGTATTGACAGCCTACAACGACTCTGGCAGGTCGGCGGTTGTGACACTTCATCTTCAATTAATACTCCATTGGATCGCCACCGCCAATGCACCTGCAGATTCACACCAGAGGTGAGCCCTGCACTTTGTCGTCTTGTAGATGAACGTGTCGTTGCATCTCTCGCACAGAACATTGAGAAGATGATGCAGTATCGGCGGGCACAGCTGCATTGTCTGGCAAAATATCTCACTGAAGCCATCAGTCAAGTAGCATGGAGTAAGGGTGTAAGGTATGGTGATATACGTTTTTTCGTATTTGGAAGTGTTGCGACGTGCACCGTGTTACCAGACGGCGACAACGACATGACGATTGATGTCTGTGGACTTCTGAATCCCACCAAGGTCCCAGGACAAGTAGACTCCACCGCTGAATCCGGTGATCGTGCAACAGCAAGCAGCTGCAGTAGTAGTTCTAGTGCTATTTCGTCATCTCAGGCCGCAACTGTCGCGTGTTGTGAGCTTCTTTCGAGTGTATCAGAGTACCTTAGGCAGCACAACACATCTGTCTACGTTGACGCACTCGTACTAGCCGAGGTGCAGGTTTTGAAGTTGGTTATGGAGGGGAGTAGCTATGATATTACAGTGAGTCAATTGGGTGGCGTTGACTGTGTTCGCTTCTTGCATGAGATGGATATGATGATTGGGTGTCGGCATCTTCTTAAGCGCACCCTGTTGCTACTGAAGGCATGGTGCTGCTACGAGGCTCACGTACTCAGCGGGCAGGGCGGATACATATCTTCCTACGCAGCGTCCGTCATGCTTATTGCAATGATGAACACTGTGGAGTTTCTCGAGGATGTTGAACTAGAGAATATGAATGATAAAGAGAAAGAAGGGCAAAAGAATCAGGATACTGAGGGTGAACAACTTGAGTGGCACCAACGAGGCACTATCAAGGAGATCTCACCACTCCAACTTCTCGCGCGGTTTCTAAAGTTTTTCGCTTACTTTGACTTTGAACATTACTGTGTGACAGTGTTCGGCCCTTTGCCGTGTACAAGCATCAACGGCACCTCACTGGACCTCAGCCACCTGGAGGTCCCAGCGGCCCGCAAAGAAAAACTCAATAAAGTACCGGAAACGTCGGATGTGAACCAAAAGAATGATCTTGAGCTGATGGTTGACGTGAATGTATTGGGTCTCACTAAAGAGGGGCAGGCGGCGCTTGGGCATTGCATCCGGCGTCGCGCCAAACCACTGGTGACGGTCAGTGGAGTGAAGCACATGCTGCAGGAGGAGTACGTGCGGCGTCAACGCGGGCGCGAGGGCCAGGATGAGTTGAATCCCCAGGCTGATAGGGCGTCCCTATGTGGAAATGCCTCGGAGGCAGAACGGTTGCGCATTAACCGACGTGGGTGTGTAGAGGAAGACGAGAATTTGTTGTGCACCACGTGTAACACCAGCAGTTTCCCTCTCCGTACGATGAACGTCATGGACCCGTTGCGATGGAGTGCCAGTGTTTGCCGTGGGGTGTGTCGCAACCATCTACAGCGCATTCGTCGTGCCTTCAAAGAAGGGCTCACCTTGTTTGAGATGGCCTCTGCAAAGCTCAGCGACGTATCGCCTCCCTCCCTATCTCCCGTGAGCAGTGGGCGCAGTGATGTCGGTTTTGATAGTTCGGCGAGCACATATCAAACCGGTGAAAGCGCCACAGATTCTGTAGACGTGGTGGCAATGGGAAGCAGTTGCCTCGACCCAATCAAAGAAAGTATTCTACTGGACCTTTTTGGGCAGACGTTGGCTATGCTACAAAAACATTTCCCAAAGTATGCTTGGTCAAATCCCCATGCTCAACAAATGCAGTGTCAGCAGTGCACGCGACCCTCAGTCTTTTGTGTACCGGACGCGCGGCAAGTGTGTGGGGCGCAGTTTGTATTTGAACGACAGGACGACGCTGTCAGCTGCAGGGATGATCGTGATGACGGACGATCACGAGAGCCTCCCCTCTTTGAAGGCGCATGCAATTCATCCCTTGCAGCTGCATCCATGCAACAACAACAACGTCAAATCAATCCATTGGCATGTGCATCCTCCCTGGCACCTCCCCCACTACTTGTGTCGACTCCTTCCACTTCCACCCACCCCGATTCACCGGCACAAGCCGCGAATGGTGTGATAAGTGGGAGTTGGTCAGTGCCTGGGACTCATGTCAACGGCGATCCCTCCTTAACTTCAGTCAGCATACGGCACCACCTCGCGCGTGGGGCGCCGCTGGTGAGGACCTGCATCAAGGGGACAGGGACGCTGGTAGGGCAACGCGCCCCCGCTGCCACTGCCAACGCTCTCACGGCCACCGGTGGCTTACTATACTCTACTGAGCCAGTTTCCATTTCGTATTATCCAGGCCGCTCAACCACGGTAACAAGGGTGGCAAAATGCAAACCATCCGTAAAGCAAGCAGGGATGGAAAAGGCACCGATGAACTTTGCACCGTCTTCAACGTCAACAGATACAATATTGCCGTGTTCCGCGGCACCCCAGCGGTATCGAGGCAATTGAAAATCCAATCCAGTGTCTCAGCCTTTATACGATGTTGTCAGTAGCAAAACGAGCGGACATAACGTTGTTTGCTTTGAATGCTCCACTGCCGCGGCGTGGCGCCAACCAATGACGCACAATTTTGGTTATTGATCAAGTTTTTGTCGCTTATGATTCGTGTGTGGTGGGGGTGAAAGTAAACAGTTGAACTGTCGATAGGAAAGATGAAGGGCTTCGCGCAAGAAAAAGATGTGTTCCGTCTGGACTAGGATTGGCGAACAAGGGGTGAAAAATGTGTCAGCTTCCTGGGTCATCAGCATCTCGCTGCGATACGCCCAGGGGGGGGG